CCAGTGGAAAGGAGAAGGGTTGGCCATTTGTCAAATAATTTTTTCCAATAGGACATTGACAAGAACATCTTGGAGTGCTTTTACACTGCCTCTCTGAGATGTTCCCTTTTGTTCATTCTTGTTGTGAATCTTTCTTTTTCACAGTGTGCCTTAGGAAATTCCCTCTTCCCACACACAACCCCCCAAAACAGAAACTTTGCCTGCATGAAAGGAGAAGGGTTGGCCATTTGTCAAATAATTTTTTCCAATAGGACATTGACAAGAACATCTTGGAGTGCTTTTACACTGCCTCTCTGAGATGTTCCCTTTTGTTCATTCTTGTTGTGAATCTTTCTTTTTCACAGTGTGCCTTAGGAAATTCCCTCTTCCCACACACAACCCCCCAAAACAGAAACTTTGCCTGCATCACGAGCTTGTGAAATTCCCCGGAATGCTGGAGGGTGCATTTACATTCTTCAACTTTAATTCATTTGAAGGCAAATGAATCTTTCCGCTTTTGAATAACAATCTAAATTCTCAGTGTTGTACCTGCAGATAGATGACTTACAAGTGAACATTTGTTTTACAGCCTACAAGAACATCATCTGAAAGTATTTATTCCAGACCAGGTTCCAGTATCCCTGGCTCACCAGGCCATACTATCTATGTAAGTATATTTTGCTATTAGTAAGCCGATGCTTTCTTGACGACTAGATAAAGGATGAGATTTTCAAATTGAGGATTTTGGAAGGTCAGTTCCCATTAAAACTAATGGGATTTGGATGCCCACATCTTTGCAAATCTCAGATAGAATGTTTGCATAGTGAAGTTGTTGTAAGCTACACAGTGCCAAATTTGTTATCCCCTAGTTGATGTGGCTATCAAGTGTAGCAGATGGTGTACTAGATTGCTTTGTGAAAACTGAGAATCCAGAGCCTTATTTCCCTTCTAGGAGGTTTAAAAAAAAAAAAAAGCCCAGGGGCAAAAGGGCTAAAACCTCAAAACAGCTACAGGTTGAATCTCTTAAGATCAGTACTCTCTGGTCTGGCAACATCCATGATCCAGCGTGATTTTAGTTAGCCGGGTGTCCGCTATCATGGGTGTGGCCAAGTTTCCTGCGGTCCAATAAAGTTTGTTTACAGCCACCAGTCCTGGCTCTGTTTTCTGTGCCATTATTTAGCTCTAATTTACCCCTAAATGTCTTCCACGAGCCCAGTAAGCAGTGGGAGTGTTGGTAATGCTGCTAGACAATATTGACCTTCCGTGGTTCAGCAAATTCTCTGGTTCAGCATCTATCAGGCTCCGAGGGTGCTGGACTAGAGAGATTCAACCTGTACTGCATGACAGAGTGTTGTGTGTGCACCACTACTCCCTCTCCTGGCCAGGATTAGAAAGCCCAGTACTGTGTGTAATAGGCTTTCTGCTGTTAGAGTAACTCACAGTAGGACAGTCTTTGTTTTTCCTTCTGGTAGCTGGCCTACCTAAGAAGTTTATAGTGTGCTACTGCTTCTTCAAAGGAACTTGTTTAGCCCAACTGCATTTGGTGCTGGGGTCTCAGGTTCCAGGCTCAACAACAGCCCAAGCTGGGTCAGTTGCATTCATAGGTAATGCAAATCCATCTTTGTCCCAAAGGAGAGGGGCCTGTGGTACTAGGATAAGATAGTTTGGAGGAAAGGGCCAAAGCTTATAGAAATGAGATGAACTCTGCCCATTCCCATAGTTTATAGTTATCCCCTGATTGCTTACACACCTGTTGATAGGCTCATAGTCACCAAAGGCTGTGGACTTCTTCTGACAGTCATTTAATGTTGCAGAGAGCATTTCGCAGTATTGTAGAGTAACTTGCTTTGCTATACTTTGGCATTTCTGTGACATTTCCTGTATCTTGGGCTTGTTTTCACTAGAAAGATTTGCCACTTAAGTTATACTGGCATAGTTAAAGGAGGAACCCCTGCTCCCCAGTGTGGGTGCAGTTACACGAGTAAAAAAGTGATTCTACCAGTATAGCTTATTCCATTCAGGCAGTAAAATAAAGCCATATTGGTATCAGGCCTCATTATTCTGATATAACTGTGTTTGCACTAGGGGTTCATTATGTAGGACGTTCCTGTACTTCTCAGCAGTCCCTGTAGGAATATTGCGATGGAGGTTCTAAAATGCAGCATTTAAAGTGCAGCATTTTGTGGCTCTAATTCAAAGGATTGCATGGGAACTGCCATGCCAAGTAGATTGTAATGGGTAGCTAGATGCTATACAGCTGTGGAAATTTGTGTCTGTGTTTAGTGTGGGTGAAAATAAACCTGGGTAGAAACTGACCAACCTAATTTTACAGTTCAGCTTAGTGAAATGCAAAAGGTATAAACTCAGCATAGGAGATGAAAAGGAAATTAGATGTTTAAAGCTCATCCAGTTTCAATAATTCAAGCTGCTTGCATAATGCAGGTAAGAACTTGTGATGTGTGGTTTTTTTGTGGGTTTTTTTAATCTCAGTATTCTCCCTTTAACCCAAGTAATGTAAAAACAAATGACATTTTTTGGTGTATCACATTACAGCACTTTCCTTCTTCAGATTAGTAAATAAGCAGCTGTCTTTGGAGCTCATTTCCAAAGTTGGCCCTTCAGCTGCAAACAAGCCATGAAATCGCACTATGGAATGGATGTCAAAGGCTGTGTCTACACTGGCTGCTTGAATTTCCACAAAAGCACTGACGATCTCATGTAAGATTGTTAGTGCTCTTACGGAAATACTATGCTGCTCCCGTTCGGGCAAAAGTCTTTTTCCGAAAAACTTTTGCGCAAAAGGGCCAGTGTAGACAGCAGAAATTTGTTTTCCGCAAAAAAGCCCCGATCGCGAAAATGGTGATCGGGACTTTTTTGCGGAAAAGCGTCCTGCCAATCTAGACACGCTTTTCCGAAAATGCTTTTAATGGAAAACTTTTCCATTAAAAGCATTACTGGAAAATCATGCCAGTGTAGACGTAGCCATAGTGTTTAACGCCTAATCAGCATCTACTAGTCAGGCTGGCTGATACTATGATGATAGGTGCCAAATCAAAATGTAAATAGCTGTGCAGTGTAGAGGTACTCCTATTTCAGGATACCAGAGGTATCCCGAGATCGCTATCCTGCATCTACACAAGCCGCCCATTATTTTGAAATATTTTTCAAAATAACAGGCGTGCTATTTCGGCATCCCGATAACCCTCGTTCCACAAGGGTTAATGGATGTCTTGAAATACCACGTTATTTTGAAATTTGGCACTGTATAGACACGCCAAATTTCAAAATAAACTATTTCAAAATAGATTCAAAATAAGATACGCAATTTGCACTATGCAAATTGCGTATCTTATTTTGAATCTATTTTGAAATAGTTTATCTTATTTTGAGTATACGGCACTGTGTAGACGCATCCTAAGTGGGGATAGTTCTGAAGACATGACATATCATTTTGTGGCTATGTTTTGCAAGCTGGAGTCTTGTTTGCCTTCTATTTCATTTTAGGGTGTTCTTTGCTCTAATATAATAAAGATGGAAGGGGCTTTCCATCTTCAGAATGCTATATGCAATCCTCTCAACATCTGTGTGACCTGGGAAGCCAGTGGTGTTTATACATGTGTTGCAGGTTGGGGAAAGCCAAAGCAGAAAGGTGAAGTGAATTGCCCAAGGTCATTCAGTGAGTCATTTGCAGAGTTGGGGTTTCAAACTGAGGACTATGACCCACTAGCTCCTATGTTTAATCTATTTAGACCATGCTGCTTCTTGCCTAAACTCTCTAAAAAATAATTCTGTGTATCAGTGGATGCAAAATCAAGTGTCAAGAAGGGTTTAAGTGAAAGAAAACTCCCCTAAAGCATGAATTGTGTAAAAATAGAAATTACTAGTGCATTTGTGTGTGTTAATTTATCTTCTGTCTTTGACCTTCAGGCAAAAGTAGACAATGAGATCCTTGATTACAAGGATTTAGCAGCTATTCCCAAAGTCAAGGCCATTTATGACATTGAACGTCCAGACCTAATTACTTATGAGCCATTCTACACTTCTGCCTCCGAGGACAGACAGGAGAGACAGAGTCTTGGAGAGGTAATGAATTCATAAGCGACCCGTTCTGTTTTACGCTATTATTCAAAGCCAGCTACGCTTCTATCCTCTTTCAAAACAGTTTGTAACTGACGCTATTCAGTTCTGTTGTTGCTGCTGTTCAGTCCAAGTGCTTGCATCTATCTGATCTGTGAGTAAAGGAAGAAATTGTAGTGTTGACTCATACTTCATATCTCATCATTGGGCCAGCTGCAGAAATAAGTGTACGGCTGCTCTGTATCTCTGACCTTCCGCTAACACCAGTAACTAATTAAAGTGTGTGGGGGGGGGGGTTCCTTTATTCATCTGTGTTTGTAACTGACATTAACTCTTTGATGGCTGCTTCCAAGATTACTGCATGAGGCAAACACCACTCTGGTACTGTGTCACAAGCCAGGAATGGCTCACTTTAAACCCCTGAAGTTCCTAGTGCATCGCCAGGACTCTAAATGAATATCACAGTATTGTGTGCAATGGAAGGGTTAACAACACTGGGTCTTCAGCGTGCATATCTCATGGGGAAATCAAGGTTCCATGCATTTTTCCAGGTATGGAATAGATCCAGATGAGGTGCTACATAGAAATATCCAGGATGATGTGTTGGCTTGCTCGATAGAAGCTTTAATTGCAGTATCTGCCATTTGATAATAAGCCTTATATCCTGCCTCAATAAGAACAAGCATTTGGTCTCTCTCTTCTGAAAGTTGTGCTTTAAAGGGATTGCTTGTCAGATTGCAGGTTTCTTTCTCTTCCTCCAGGTGGACTTCCCTGCTCATAAAGGCACATTGCTGGGATGGCCATCCCAAGTCCCAGTACATTTGATTCTAAGTAGATTGATCATTTCAGGCCTCCTTAGGGCATAAAAGGCCCTTTCAGAAATGAAGATCTAAACTGGGGTGAGGAACCTAAGGCCAGCTTACCTGGATCCATCCGCCCCGGGCTCGGGGCTCTCACCCTTGCATTGGGAATCCTGCACTGGCACTCCACCCGACCTCCATCCTACCGCAGGGCTGGAACACACAAAATCTACTAGCCTGCGCCCTCCTAGGCTCTAGTGTGTGAGGGGAATGTGGGAAGTGTCTTTCTCCTTGTCAGTTAGGGGCCATGTCAGTGAGGTGCGGTTTTCTCTCTCTTTCTGTCTGTCTGTCTCTCTCTCTTTCTCTGTGTGTGTTTTCTTCTCACTTGCGTGTGGCCCCTGACTGATTTTTCTGTGGGTCAGTATCCCCCAACCCCAAAAAGGTTCCCCACCCCTGATCTAAACAGATAGTGGGCCAAATCTGCTCTGTTCCACTGGGTGGAACTGAGAGCAGAATTTGGCCCACTCGTTTGGACAACCTCAGAGCCTTAGGAGGAGCCAACCTTCTACAACCAAGCAAATTGTGTGTGTGTTCGGTGTACATGGATGCTGCCTTCACAGCAGTCTTTATGCCAGCCTTTGTCAGAGCATCTATTCTTCCTCTAACAATATGGAAGAAATTAGCCCGAACTGAGCCTTATTTTTAAGTGTGGAAAAAAGGGGTGGGAAGGAGAGATGACATAAATCATTCATGTTTGGGGAGACATTTTTTCAGAGCTGGCGTTTGGGCACCCAGCTCCATGTCTTTGAAATTCTGCTCCATTAACAAATCCGTCTGCTGCCTAGTGAATAGGAAGCTGGAAAATGCAGGCTATTGTCCCTAGGGACTCTCACCATTGTACTGTCCATTTGCATAGTTTACAGGAGCTGTTCTCTTCCTCTGTGTGGGCCTTTAAACTACAGCAACAGTTGAGGGTGCAGGGGACTGCACAGCTCAGGACTGCACTGCACAGAGCTTTTTCACTTCTAATCCAGGTGTGCGGTGAATCTGACTGAGGGCTAATACAGGTCAGTGTGAAATGAATTGGTGGTTTCTGACCAGACCCCAGCTGACAGGAGCGCTCCTTGCAAAAACTGCCATCAAAATCAACATCAGACTGCCCCCTGCTAGCCACAGAAGAGAGACCTGGATGGACTAGGGAAAATGAAGTTCCCGTTCCTTTTGCAGGGGGAGGCATCTGGCCACCTTTGATGCTCTTTGACAAAGCAGCATGGTGGAAACTTGTTTGCAGCCCCCATGTGGTACTTGTTCTGTTGATAAATAAGAGGCTTCAGAGACATCTCATCAACCCAATGCCTCTCAGCAGCACTAAATTCACTTGCATTTTTGAAAAAGCAAAGTAAAATGAAATCTACAGGACTAGGTAGGGAGGCAGTATTGGCTAGTGGCTAGAGTACTAGATGGGGAGTCAGAAGGCCTGGGTTCTGCCACTGACTTCTGCATGACCTTGGGCAAATCGCTTCACTCTTTGTGCCTCTCTTTCTCTTCCCAGCTCTTGTCTGTCTTTGCTCTTCAAACCGAAAGCGCTTCAGGGTAGGCCCCATCTCTTGCTCTGTGTTAGTACATTGTCAAATGCAATAAGACCCCATTCTTGACCAGGGCCTTTAGGTAGTAGTGTTAAATCGCTGTTGTTAAGAAATAAGATACATACAGACATGGAGAGGAATTGCACTCTACATGGGAAAATAAGTTTACACTCTATGGGCATGTCTATGCTAGGAAATTATTTCAAAATAACTTATTTTGAAATAACTCCCGAAATCATAATTTTGAAATGGGGTGTCCACACTAGGGGGAAGCCTCGAAATTAGTCCAAGGCAGGTTATCTTAATGTGGACATGCTACCTCAACTTAGAACCCCAGGAAGCACTGGGCAGTAGTTAGCTAGAATTAGTCTAGGGAGTAGTTATTTCAAAATAGTGGCAGCAGAGAATCCACACTGCCACAATTTTGGAATAACTATTTCAGAGTTAGCGTTATTCCTCGTGGAAAGCAGGAGTTATTTCAAAATAACCAGCCTGTTGTTTTGAAGAAATGGGCTTGGTAGTATGGACGCTCCACTTGTTATTTCTAAGTAACTCCCTAGCGTAAACAGGGCTATATGTAATCTCATGAAGCGTATTTCCAATCAACTATATATCTCTCTCTTCATGCTGTGTTTGGATTGGATTTGTCTATTTTAGTAATCTGGAAATGTCATGCAAATGTGTAAACAAAGATTGTTTAGAATATAAATCAATCTTCAATTGATTAACCTTCTTAAAATGTCATAGACATAGGTCTAGTGTACTGGCCTTTATTCACTCAGGACTAAAGACTGTGGTACTTTAATTGAGTATGCGTCCCATTGATTTCATTTAGAATTGTGCTCAATTAAGGACAGCATTCGGCTGTAAGGAAGACATGATGTGCACTGGTGTATCAGTGACATGCCCTTAAATGAAGGTTGACAAACATTACACTTCCAAGATGTGTGTCCTCACATTGCATTGGTGAATTTCATTTTCCATGCAGCTTTATATGCTTTGGGCACAGTAAATATGTTCAGAGAGATCTTCTGGGTAGTGAAAACATATTGATCAATACTAACAACTACAAACTCTATCAATATTTGACACAGAACAGCTAATGAAATTAAACATGCTAAGTTGACTTTAGGATTTAGCTGTGATAAATACGTGTTTACATTGAAATCTACATTCAGTCAAAGCTGTTTACTGGAGTGATTGTGCTAAGCACATAGCATTATGCATTTCTGACTACAACATACACCATGTTACTTATTACTCATATTCCTAATATATTGCCAACAACAAGAAGAGAAACTAAGAGAGGTGGGTTGTGATGGTCATTAATGCAACATCATAACTCAGCTTTTAAAAAGGAGCTCAAAGGCAATTTCTCTAATTCATGACAGTCTATTAAAGAGTCATTTAGCTGAGTTCCCTTCCTTTGCTGCTGGGTGACATTGCATGCTGACATTAAAGGTCCATGGGATAGCCTTTCAAGATGCTTCTTTCACAAAGAATTCCTCAGTTGTCCATCTACAATGCCACAGGGAGGCTTTTTCTGAGTATGGGTCTGATTTTGCAACCCTGAAATTATTGGGCATTTTGTGCTTGATGTCAGTAGATGCAGGATTAAGCCCCGTTCAGGACCATATTCTCAAGCGCTCAGTACCCATTTAGGTACTGTACCTAACAAAGTGGTCATATTCCCAAAAAGAGTGCAGTGTGCTGTGGGGAAAAGCTCTCTTGTAAATCTAGCCTGTAACGACAGCCACTTTCCCCCTCAGATTTTGTCTATGCTTAAAAGTGTAATGTGCAGCCATGGCACCACTCTATGTAAACCACCCCCAGGAGGAGGGCAGTAACAGCACTGGGAACATGGCTCTGATACAAAGGCAGCAGTGCAGGGCAGCAGCCAGCTCCCTGGGAGTGAGACCAGCAGGCGGGAGCTGCTATGCGCATATTGGCTTCTGGGGACCCAGCTGCTCCACTGTGCTGCAAGTGCATATAACCATGTAACTGCTGAGATTTTCAGCAGTTCACACAATTGCCCACTTCTTAACACCCCTAGTTCACACTGGCGCTTTACAGTGCTGTAAGTTGCTGCACTCAGGGGGAGCTCACCACTGAACCAGAAAGTAAAGTTCTGTAAAGTGCCGGTGTAGACTTAGCCTTAGTCACAGCATTATCACTATCTAAGGCATCGTTAATGCTGGGTCTACACATGATGCCATTGTGAAACAAGTGGTTGCCATGGTTGGTGGGTAATGCATTATTTTTCTTGGCTTTGGGGTGTTCGTTGACAAGGGCTGTCCAAGGAAGCTGTGGTCCGTCATAGTTTGTAAGTAATAAATCAGGTCTCTGGGCACACTCTGAATCAGCTCTGTTCCTCTCTGTTGATTTGTTGCATGTGCCTTTTAACCTGACATTATAAAGATAAAATATGAGAGCCTTGCATTCACCTGATGTTGTGCTTTAATCAGTTTTGTCATGCATCTTGTAATGGGCTGTATTTTTTCAACATCCACTTGATACAATTAAAATAAAATAATTTGCTACCATCCCTTCAGACAGGTGGTCCTCTTCTGCCAGAGCCCAGTGGGGGTTATTGCTGTGCGGGTTGAAGATATAGGAGTTTTGCTGAGTCCTGCAACCAAAATCCCCTGTTTGGCACTTACCCATGAATGTTTTGCTGTGTAATAGAACGTCTTGGTATTTGTCATCCATCCCTCATGTTTCTTTGCAATGCAGCTTTATCAGACTGAGTTTTTCTCCCCAAGTTGTACAGAAACCTTGTCAAAATAAACAGCACCAAAGTCAGTCACCTCAGAGAAGGTGCATGGAGGTGGAGAGAGCACATGGAACTTTTTGTCTTGCAAAAGATTCAAACACAAGTTTGCTAGCCTCAGACCTAAGGATACAGATAATTGACTCTGCCCGCTTCCTGCATTAGCCTGTGAAGCTGGGTGCTCACTGCTCAGAATTTAGGGAGCCTTTTTCAGGAAGAAATACTCTGCAGCAGTAGAGCAGATAAAATGCAATTGCAGCTGCTCTGCCCCCTTATTTTTTTTCTTTGAGGTTCCGGGGAACAATATAGGGTAGCAATAGACATTCTTCCTTTTACCCCATTTTAAAAATTGATATAATAGTCTCTCTAAACCAGATGGGGAACCTCAGACCCAGGGGCCAGATGTGGCACTGGCTTGCCTGGATGCAGCCCCTGAGACTCAGGGCCCCTCCAACATTGGAGAGCCTGTGCTGGCTCTCCAGACCCACTGCTACTCACTGCAGGGCAGGGGGCCCCAAAATCTCTTAGCGTGGGTGCTACAAGGGGAGGGGAAGGTGGGGAGTGTCTTTCTTCTCAGTCGGGGGCCACGTCCGAGAGGGGTTTTTTTTTGGGGGGGGGGGGGGGTTTGCGCTTGGTGTTTTTTTTTGGGGGGGGGGGTGTTGCTCACTTGTGTGCGGCCTGCCAACTGATTTTTCTGTCGGTCAGTGGCTCCCACCCAAAAAGGTTCCCACCTTTGCTCTAAACTATCCAGTTTATTCCTTGATAAATCCCTGTTCTGTGTCTTTAGAAGTCTCATTGGGGTAGCTGTGGTAGTGTGTATCTGTAACAACAAGAAGGAGTCCTGTGACACCTTAGAGACTAACAGATTTATTGGGGCATTTATTCTGCCTTTTTCTGTCGGTCAGTGGCTCCCACCCAAAAAGGTTCCCACCTTTGCTCTAAACTATCCAGTTTATTCCTTGATAAATCCCTGTTCTGTGTCTTTAGAAGTCTCATTGGGGTAGCTGTGGTAGTGTGTATCTGTAACAACAAGAAGGAGTCCTGTGACACCTTAGAGACTAACAGATTTATTGGGGCATTTATTCTGCCCTAATAAATGTTAGTCACTAAAGTGCCACAGAACTCCTTCTTGTTTTTGTGTCTTTAAAAATCTGCAATAGAAAAAGTTTTCGCATAGCGCCATCTACTGGAAGACAACCAGACCAATAGTTTAGTGACAGTGGCTACAGTAGTTAGTTGGGAAGTGAAGGTAAACTCAGAATAATATGAAGTAACATAACAAATTATGTTAATTTGTTAACATAATAGATACACAGGTAGGAAGAAATACTTCTGTAATATATAGTGATAAGGTTTGTTCCAGGGTGTGTGTGTGTATATATATATATATACACATCTGAGCTGAATCTTGAAGATGTTTGTAAGAGTTGCAAATTTTCAAGCTATGCAAAATCCGTAAGTTCACAATTTCTCTGCTACTGCTCTTCCTTGCTTGGTGTGGGAATTGGGTCTCTTGGCTTTTGGTGAATTAATTATTTTGGAAGGTTGCATTACATGCTGCTTCCTGTGACCAAAGGGAGTCGTGAGGCTCTGTGACTGCAGAGCCGGTAAGTAAACAAACTGGAGCCACCCGGTAGCAGTTCTCAGGGCATGTCTATACTAGAAAATTATTTCAAAGTAACTTATTGTGAAATAACTCCTGAAATAACTATTTTGAAATAGGGTGTCCACACTACAGGGAAGCCACTACAGGTAGGCTCCCTTAATGTGGACATGCTACCTTGACTTAGAGCCCCAGTAAGCACTGGGGAGTAATGACTTTGACTGACTCTGGGGAGTAGTTATTTAGAAATAGCAGCAGTAGGACATCCACTCTACGGCTATTTTGAAAGTTTTTTTTAAATAAGCATTATTCCTTGTGGAAAGCAGGAGTTGTTGTTTTGAAATAACCAGCCTGGTAGTGTGGACACTCTGTTTATTTCAAAATAAGGGGAGTTACTTTTAAATAACTCCCTAGGGTAGACCAGGGCTCAGAGTGGATTTGTGGGCCACTTTGGAGACACTGATGTAGCCTTTTAATTTTCATCTTACAGTTACATTATAGTTGTTGCTGTTAGATGGTTCAAAGATGTCATTACAGGATATTTAATTAAAGTAATCACACTTGCTTTTTGGTGGCCAGAAACTTAAGCTGCGTCAGAGCCCAGGCCCTGGGTGGCATGGAGAAAACCCAGCTTTGGAGCTAAAATGGCCCCAGTTACTTCTATGTTGTTGTCTAAACACACCTAGATGTGTTGAAATCAGCATTTGCTGGCGAAGAGGAGCAACACTGTTTCTGTAACATTCTTTCTTTCATGTCTTGCAGTCTCCAAGGACGCTGTCTCCCACCCCGTCGGCAGAAGTAAGTCTCATGGAGCCCTCTGGGGCAATGTGTCACTATTGCTAGAATTATTGCTGCCTGGAAGCGCAGTTATTAATCGTTCTAGGCAGCCCAAGTCTAGTGGTTATTTACATAGTATAATTTTTCTGATGATTGAAAATACAGGAAAATCCAAAGAGAGGCCATGTAGTGCTATCTATCAGAGTGCTATGGAGGATGAAGCCACTGCAGGGTTTGATGTCTGCAAAGCGGAGGCATTTATCAAAGTCTATACAGCAAAGGTCACTTCTATGAATTCTTTGTTGTGGCGAATAGATCAGGACCAAATCAGGAGCTGTACTAATTTGCAGCAGCTGAAGATCTGTCCCTAAGCATCTGGAACATTGCTTATACTTACAATCTTTGTGAGAAAACATTACTGTGGCATTCCTCTAGGGGGGGACTGTGAACATCATAGTGACACAAAGAAAATGTAAAGACACTCGTAAGATTTTAGTGGATGCCATTATATATACATTTTCACATGTACATTGACCACCTCTGCATGCTTCAATTTCTACAGTAATTTTATGAACATGCTTATGGTCTTCAAAAAGTATGCTGCCAGAAGGTTGTTTGGGTTTTTTTAGGTTCCAAGATTTACAAAAGTGACCAGTGATCTTGAGTGCCTCAATTTTTGGGTTGTTACTTGAGAAACATTGAAAAGGGCCTAATTTTTAGACAATTGTGGCTTAGCACTTTCTGAAAAATAGGTCATCTTAAGGATGAAATATCCCAAATCACTAGTCAATTATGAAAGTTGAGGCTTACGTATTAGTTACCAGAATTCAGCCTGAAAGTCAAATGGGATTGCAAGACTCTAGAACTTAGTTGTCAGGACTCTACAGTGATGGATTTTGTGAGAGACTATGTGATGAACAGATAGATAGAACTGTCGGATAATGAAACAGATATTACAATGAAAGGATGTTATTCCTTTAGCAGGTTCCATTGATATCTTCAGAGCATTGAAAGTCACATAGTTGGAAAGTTGTCTGAAGTTCACTTAAACATTTTAGTAGTTGTAGCATTAGTATTAATGCTTCTAATACTTCTTATTCTTCAGGGTTATCAGGATGTTCGTGATCGGATGATTCAAAGGTCAACTAGTCAGGGCTCTATTAGTTCTCCAGTGTACAGTCGACACAGCTACACACCCACAATGTCACGCTCCCCTCAGCATTTCCATAGACCTGGTAAGGGTAACTGCGTCAGTGATTTAGAGTTTGAAGCCTTGTGTTTCCTTATTATGTTATTTAGTGAAATAGAGAAGAAACTATCAATCTTTTAGCATTGAAAACTGGCTGCAGATTTTAAAATGCTCATGTCTATTTATAAAATACAGGACTATGTAGCACTTTAAGACTAACAAGATGGTTTATTAGATGATGAGCTTTCGTGGGCCAGAGCAAAGCCTCAGAGGCGCGGCACCCCGCCGCCGCTGCCGCTTTGCTCCCGGTGCCTCTGGGCTGCCGGGGGGGGGGGGGGGGCGCGCACTGCG